CCCTTCCATTTCTTCCTTCATCACCTTTCTCCTGCTCCTCCCCTTCTTCCTCCTTTTCTTTAAGGAGCATCAACTTGTAGGCCTTTGTTGGGCCTGGCATGCTTTACATGGTTCCGAGGACATGGTCTCCATCCCAGGCTACCAGCCAGTCCAGGGGAGTTTGGTCTGAAGGCTTTGCCTGGATGCCAGTGAGGTTCCCACACATGCCTGCCCTTAACAGGAGACCAGAGCAAAGTCCACTGACCTGGCTGCATGTTTAGCTGTTTTATTTATGGTTTCTCTTAATAACGGTAGAAGAATTACAAATGAAAGAAGGATTACAAAGGCATAAAAATATTATATAAAATATGAAAAACATAATCCCTCTTAACGAGAATAGAATTAGAAGAATAAAGCAAGTGGTATGGGGTAGAGGGATAAAAAAAGATAGAATAAAGAGATACGAGACAAAGGGAGATACAAATGATATAATAGGAAAAAAATAGAAACATTTTAATTGTCCAAAAATATAAGAATCATTAAATCATAAGATGGAATTCTAAGCAGCTATTAAAAATGATTTTGAAGAGTACTGATATGGAGAACATGAAAAATAAAACAGTAACTGAAAAATGATAAAAATCACATATGAGTATGTTATAGTTCTAAATTATTTTAAATATACAGATAAAAGACTGGAAAGGCATATACCAATATGTTGACAGTAATTTTCTCTGGATGATGGAATTAAAGGCAACTTTATTTTTCTTTCACATCTGTTTCTAAATTTCATAAATTACTTATATATTAAATAAAACTATTTTCAAGACACCTAAAATCTTCACAACAAATGATCTGATACTGGGCCAATATAGACAGAGAGGAGAGTGCATGTTGGGGGCATTGGCCTGCAAGGAGCCTGAGGATCCTGTGGTTCAGTCTAGAACACGTGACAGATGAGAAAGCTGAGGCTCAGAGGGTAAAGTGACCTGACCAATGTTATATAAACAATCAGGACTAGAAACCAGTTAGCACGTCCTCCATCCTGGCCTCTTTCTATTGTGTATTTGAAGCAAATGCTGGATTTAAAATGAATTGTAAAAGAATCTGAATGTGTACTATTGAAAGTCGTGAAGGGCATTTTAAGGAAGGAAAGAAGGAAGGAAGGAAGGAAGGAAGGAAGGGATGGAGGGCGGGAGGGAGGGAAGGAAGCTAAGAAGGAAGGATGGAAGGAAACAAAAATGTAAACAATTGGAAATTCTCAGATTCTTCTTTAGGAGAAAAATGAAGCTGTGGGAAAGTGCACAGCTTTCTATTAATATCAGTATATTAGAGACCCCTCCTCACCACGGTCTCAGAGCCATTGAGTCACAAAGCCTGGATCCCCACTCCACCCTCCAGCCCCGCCCCCCAGCTGCAGCCCCCCGTGCAGCAGCACCAGCAGCAGAAGCAGCTGACACTGGTGACCCCAATCCCACGCAGCCGGAAGTGGGGAGGTTGAGACTGACCATGACGATCTCGAGCACTTCGTTCTTGCTGATGGCCCCATTGCCATCCACGTCGTAGAGGGAGAAGGCCCACTCCAGCTTCTGGTTGGGCTTGCCCGCAGTGGTCATGTGCAGGGCAATGACGTACTCCTTGAAGTCCAGAGTGCCATCACTGTTGGCATCGAAGCTGCGGAACACGTGCTCGGCGTAGGCCTTGGGGTCTGAGTCCGGGAAGAACTTGGCGTAGATGCTCTGGAACTCCTGTCGGGTGATGCGGCCACTGGGGCACTCCTTCAGGAAGGACTGGTACCATGCACACAGCTCCTCCTCCGTGAACTTGGTGTTCAGTTGCAGCTCCTCCAGGATCTCCTTGGACAGGGCTCCGCTTTTGCTGTTCCCCATGGGTGAGGCGGCGTGAACCCTGGCGGGTAGTCACCACTGAATGTGGGTGGATGGGTGGGAGCAACGTGGTCTCCCGGCCGCCTGGGCTTGGTGCTGCTGAAGATGGATAGACTTCGAGATGCCGGCGGATTAGGAGGATTTGCAGCAGATTCACCCCAGTACTTGGAGGGAGGAGGGGCCCGGAGCACGTTGGGAGATGGTTCCCAGAACCCCCGAGATTAAAATAAAGAGCTGACAGCAATCCATCTTAGGACAGGAGGACAGGACAGGAGGGTAGAACCTTAAGAGCCTGAAGTCTTAGGCCAAAGCCTTCCCCACTGCCCTCATCCATTCTTCCTCCTCCCTCAACACCAGCTCTCTAAGAGCAATGATATTCATGGCCTGTCCTCCGCCCTCACTCTGAGGTCTCTGGGTCAGGGATGGCATCTTTCATTGAGCCCTACAGTGCAGGAGTTAGGAGCTGGGCTCTGATGCCAGCCAGGGTTCAAATCCCAGCTTTGCAATTCACTAGCTATGTGACCCCAAGGCCTTTTTTAAACCTCTTTGCCTAGAATGCTCTTCTCCCAATCCTTTATCTCCTTCATAGCTTTCTTTAAATATCGCCTTCCCAGCAAGACCTATACCGTCCATTCTCTTAGCACACTCCATACCCAATCATCAGCACGCCACAGACCTTTTACCCTGCTTTATTTTTCTCTCTCCCCCATACACCTTCTGACTTACTGTTTGTTTATTCCATGTGCAGCCTGTACCCTCACCAAAATGAAACCTTCGCAGAAGCAAGGATCTGTTTTTTTCCCTGCTGCATCTCCACTGCCAGAATGGTCCCTGGCAGCATAGGGCCCTGGGTGAATAGTCCTTCAAAGAACAGGCATAATAATAGTGTCTATCTCATTGTTGTCGTGAAGTTGAAGTGAGTTAATATGTGCCACACACTTAGAATAGAGTCCAGCACTTAGTACTAAATACGTGTTAGTTTTTGTTGTTATTCATCTACAAGCATCAAAAACTAAACTGCCTATAGGAGGAGCCAGCGAATGGAGGGAGTGAGTGAAGCAGCTGGATCAGGAAGACAATAGGTGAGGCCTCTGTCACACGTGGAAGGGGCTGCCAATGTTCAACTTCATTTGAATGTGGTCATATTGGACTATGGCTCAGTGTTAGTAGATTTTTCGATCATCCAAGAGAAATCCAGAAATCAGATTTATGCAATTTCCAAACTTTTAAACTGGTTGTTAATTAAAAATTTTCAAAAAACCTGATGTGGGCCAAATACAACTATCTGGGGCTCAGTTTCAGCTTGCAGGCTGTCAATTTGCAACCCAATCTGGTGCCCAAAGCTAGCAGACAATAACCCGTGCTTGTTCAGTGCACAATGGATAATGGGGGACAGGGAGGGAGCTCTGCAAGGGAAGGCTTTGCATCCCTGCAGTCAGCCGAGGTACAAGTATGGGAGACAAGAAAGAACCCTGGTGAGCATATTTTGTACCTGAATTCTCAATCAACCAAAGGAAATGTCAGGGGGAACCTGGGGTGGCTGAGCATAATGCTGGAGGGGAATTATCAGATTAGATGGGACCTCAAAATTATCAGATTAGATGGGAGAAATACTTCCTCTTTGCCTAGGGGTGGTAACTACGAAGAACAACCCCCATAATTTCTGGGCAAGTGAGTTGGGGTTTGCGCTCTATTTCATAACAGGCTAATGTCAGGGAATAGCAGATCCCCATTGCTGGGAGAAAACCACCTGTGGGGCCCACCTTAATGTTGCTTAGGAAGGACAGAGAAGTTCAGGCACTGACTCCATCCCCTGCAGTTCCAGAGTATTTCTGAGGAGGCTTTAATGCTGGGGTGTGTGGGTATGTGCATGTGTGTGTGCACGCGCATGTGCATGCGCACTTCTATTTTTTTCCCTTCAGTTTGTGAGAACATATTATTTCTTAATAGGAGCGCTTCTCTTTTTCTAGATGTTCACTATCCTGTAGCAAGGTATTCGTTCTCAAGAGCAGTTAGAAATCGGTCACCAAACTCAAAAACGAACGAAACCGAGGGCATGAAGGCAAGGCCAGAGACTTCACCTGTTGCCTCTGACCAGGCGTGGGAGGTGCTTAGAAGTGCCCTGAGTGCCAGGCCTGTCCACATCAAGCCTGCAGATGAGGCAAGGCCAGTGTTACAGGAATGAAATGGTTCCAAAAGGCATGGAATCTGCCAGGATCACACGGTTGCTAAATGGCAAAGCCAGGCGGAAAGCCCAGCTCATTCAGGCTCCCCATTCAGGGCTCTTTTCACTATGTTACAACTGCCTCTTCTCTCACGGAGGCCTGAGTCCAGGGGCCAGGAAGCTCCATTTCCATAGGTGAGGAGCTGTCGTAACAATGGAAGAGGCTGTGGGCAAAGAATCAGGGCCCCCAGGTTAACATGGACAGCAGCCAGAGCCCCCCGACCAGTTCTGCTTTTTCCGAGGGCAAGAAGGAAGGTGCTGGAACCAGGTCAGAAGCAGCCTGGTACTGTCCACATTCTTCAGATTGCCGTGCCCAGGAGAGGGCCAACCACAGGAGGGGACCACAGGCAGCTGTGTTGATGCTTTTGAGAGAGGGGCCATGACCTGGAGGTTTGTTTAAAAACCTACATAAACATCTTCTATCAGAGGGAGAGTTTATGCTCCTTAGCCAAACAAGTTGTTGGAGATGATGTATTGTGAATGGATTTGTTAAGTCTGAGCTGGGGCCATAAATTCCCCCCTTGAACCCCTAAAGACCACTGGGGAGAAGGCCTCATCTCCGGTCAGAGTCTCAGTTTGTGTCTCCCCTCCCTAACTCGCCTTGACTGAAAGAAGCAGAGTCTGGCCTGGTCACACCCCAAGCCTGGAGCTCTGTCTCGGCTGTTCACTAGGGCCCAGCCTCCCAGCCCTCACCTCCATTCTTCTACCTTCCCCTGCTATGAGCTGAAAGACAAGAAGACCCTTCCTTCCCCTTGCCTGGAACCAGAGCCTGCACACATAGTCTGCACAGAGAGGGGAAAGGGGGCATCGAGAGGGCGGGTGGGAGGCAGAGAATGGGAAAGAACGCTCCTCCCAAGGCTGTCCCAGTGCACTAAATGGCAACACATCCTTTTGGGTGCTTGGATTGAAAAACTTGGAGTCACCCTCAGCACCTCTCTTTCTGTCACACCCCACTCCAATCTGTCAGAAATCATGTTGGCTGTATCTTCAGAGTATATCCAGAACCTGACCATTCTCCCCACTGCCATGGTGACCACCTCCAGCAGGCACCATTGCTTCTCCCTGAGTTCCAACTTCTGTGGTTCCCTGTTTCTGCCCTTGTCCCTTACAGCTAGGGTCCCCAATCCCCAGGCCGTGGACCAGTACCTATCTATGGCATGTTAGGAACTGGGCCGCACAGCAGGAGGTGAGCGGCGGGCGAGGGAGCAAAGCTTCATCTCTATTTGCAGCCACTCCCCAGCACTAGCATCACTGCCTCAGCTCCACCTCAGATCATCAGGCATTAAATTCTCATAGGAGCACCAGTCCCTGGGGCCAAAAAGGTTGGGCACCACTGCTGTACAGTCCTGCAGCGAGCCCTGTAGCAATGAAGCCAGGCCATGTGCTCCTAGGCTTGGCAACCCCCGCCCCCGCCACCACCCAGTAAGTCAAAGGCCTTCCACTGCTGGCAAAGCCCTGCCGAAGCTGCCCCTCCCCACGATCTTTCTGCTCCAGCCACTGGCCTCAAACAAGTAGCTCCCATGCCACCAGCCTCTAATTAGGCTGCCTCCTCCGCCTGGAACATTCTTCCCCCAGCTACATGCCAGGCTGCCTCCCAGGTTTCCTTGTCTGTGATCAAATGCCACCTTCTCAATGAGGCCACCCCAACTCCTCTATTTAATATAGCAAGTTACCCGCCCTCACCCCTGAAACTACCAATCCCCTCGCTCTCCCCGTTTTTTCTTTCTCCCTAACATTTAATACCTTCTACACTCACACTATGTAATTTTGTTACATCTACTGTTTTTGTCTGTCTCTCCCTGCTAGAAAGTAAGCTCATGGGGGCAGGGCTCTGTTTCATTCGCTGTGTTCCCAGTACCTAGTATCTGACATATAGTAGGTGCTCAACAATTATTGCAGGCAGTCAGGCAGAAGGGACGAATGAGAAAATATCCAGTAGCCCCTTCTGTTCAAAAGGACAGAAGTCACCAGGGGAGGGGAATGGGGCCTGGGTCAGGTGTGTGTGTCTGGCAGCATGGCGCCCATCTTGGTGAGGGGTGAATACTCAGGTACCCTTTGTCTCTCTGCTAAGTCATCGGGAGTAAAATTATCACCAATCCTGGGAGCCTGGGAGGAATGCTGAGACCATTTGTACAAAGGAGAGTGTGGCAGCCCTTCAGGAAGGAGGGTCGCTCGGCGGGACCCAGTGTCTCTGGACAGTTTATTTTACATGGGATGAATCTAAGCATCTCAAGTGTACACACAGAGCCAAAGGAAAAAAATGGGTGAGCATTTAACTTCCTGAAAATGCTTTATAATAATGCAGAACAATTATATATAGCAAACGCCTTCCATATTTAAACCCTTTAAACATTTAATTCTTCAGCATTAATACACACAAATGCTATTATGGAGGGTGGGGAGGGGGTGGGAAGGGCAGATTACAACCTCCATAGGGATCAGTTTCAACAGTGTTACTTATAAATTATATTACATCGATTTTATTTACTGATCTAGGCAGCCAGAGGGCGGAAGGATATACAATTTGGAGTAAACACATTCATACCGGGATGAGGAATGCTGGCAGGAGACACAGCTTTTTAACATTAAAAATGTATAAAGTATTTAGCAAAAGTTACAGAAAACGGACCAAACAAGCAAGTTTATTTTGTTAGAAAATTCCACTTTCATAGGGTTTGCTCATGTGCTCGTCTCTGTGAAAGGACTGCCCCCTTCCCCATGATCTCCTTCCTAAGGTCAGAGATGCAAATTTGGGGCTGGTCCTCAGGGGTGGCTGGTGTCCCTTTGAATGTCTGTTCCGGGGTCCACATGGCTGCCTGGAGGCCATGGCTCCCAAGGACCAGTCCACTGCATGTGATGCTGGAAGGGGAGCGTCACCACTTGACAGATAAGTCCACAGAGGTCCCAGAAAGGGACATGACAACTTCAGGTTAAGGGGCAACGGAGACAGCAGAGTGGGGTGAGTCGAGTGCTCTTGCCTTGGTACCATATGCTTTGCCTCTCCATCCCCATGTCACAACCTCCTCCCAGAGCACCCATGTGTCGGACCCTTTGCATTCCACCACTGCAATCCCATTAGGAATTTCCCTGAAACACAAAGGGTCAATGTCCCCTGTATAGCACACAGATCAAGGACCATCACAATCCCTCTCCCTCAGAGGCACCTCCCAACGAAGGCTCTTGAAAGAGCCTCAGCCTAGCATCTAGAGGGTTGGGAAAAATGGAACATTGCTTTTTTTTGACACGTGTCTTATTCTTACCAAATCAGCTGTAACAGGAATCGGGTCCCTCACCTTTAGGAAAGGCCTGACAGAAATAATATTTCTGGGGGGTGGGGAATGATGAGAGTCCTTCCTGACAAAATTCAGCCCAGCAACATAGATCCTAGGGTCCCCACCATGGGGCCCTGTGGGCCCGGGCTCCCCGGTCCTGACCTTCACCTGGCCTGGACCCAGGTATGTCTTCAGTTTGCTTGGAGAGATGCCTGCTTGCCTTCTGGGGCTCACCTGTCACTGAGCAGGGCATGATCAAGACATGGCTTGGAGGAGTTGTCACCTTGGGGATCCTAAGAAGAACTACCTCATTCTCAACAGCTCTTAATTTTACCTTCCTCTGTGTCTAAATGGAGACATGCCAAGGTATCCCTTTCGTGAGGGTTTCAGGCAACACCATGCACAACTGTGCTGACAAGACCAGATTAGGGATGACCATGTGCTTAAGGTATAAAATTGGAAAAGGGGAGGGGAAACGGAATGCAGCAACCAACCAGAGGAGGCCTGAGTGCTTTTCTAGAACAATTACTCCCACTGTGCAGATTAAGCAAGAGACCCAGAAAAGGCTCATGATGAGCCGAAGGCCACCCCTGGTCTTCTCATCCATGCTATGTCCATTCACCTTCCACACCCCATAATGCTCAGTAAATGCCAAGGACTGTGAGAGCTGTGTCATGGGGGTCTCCCCAGGAGGGAGTAGATTTGCTACTGAGGTGCAGGGCACAGCAGCAGTGGAAGGAAACTGAGACTCCACCCACCCCTTTCCCCAATCTCTGGCAGCTTTCTGCATTGCCCAATCCTAACATGAACCAAAAAGGCAAGTGTGAGCCCCAAGAACTACCTGTGGGCACAGCTGTCATTTGCAAAAGGGGCCTTGGGGACCATAGGAAGCAGCAGGCTGGAAGTAGCCATGCAAACAAGCTGAAGACCCCAGAACAGAAACTTCTGGGGCAAACGACTCATTTTAAAAGCAAGGAAGCAGTGTGGTACACCCATGCAATGAAACACTACTCGGTGATGCAAGGGAAGAAATTACAGACACATGACAACATGGGTGCCTCAACAATACTGAGTGAAAGAAGCCAGACTCAGAGGTTACACAGTGTGACTTCGTTTACATGACATTCTAGAAAAGGTAAAACTATAGGGTCAGAAAATCAATCAGTGGTTGTCAGGGGCTGGGGGTAGAAGGAGCGGATTAACTACAGAGGAGTCTGGGGGAACTTTTGGAGCGATGGAAACACTATGTTGATTTTGGTGGTGGTTGCAAGGCCGTATAAATTCGTCAAAATTCACCGAACCATATACTTCAGAAGGGTGAATTTTACTGTGTCAATAAACTACAATACTGGAATGTCAAATACCTCAATAAATCTGGAAAAAGAAAAGGCAGTGGTCTTGTAGGGGTGGGGAGGATTATGGGAATAAGATGGTGTGCTGGCTAAGTAAGCATGCTGCTGATCTGTACCCCACTTAACATCTGTAAAGTGCTTTCCCTTACTAAATAATAATACGCAGGTCTGTAGACTC